GCTGGAGATACACAGACTTTTTCTCCTTCTCGTGTGCAAAGCAGGAGCCTGGTACTCGTTCCCTGCACCCACAGCTTGTGCAGAGTCTCTGCGAGCCCCTCGAAACGGAGCCGGGCCCCCATGGGGGCAGCGCTGCCCCCGCCGGGCACTCAGGGGCCTGGTGCGGCAAGACACTGGGGCGGCAAGACACTGGGGCGGGGGGGGAGCTCTGCCCCTGCTGGGCACTCAGGGGCCTGGTGCTGCAGGACGTGGGCGAGTGGGGAGCTCTGGCTCTGGCCCCGCTGGGCACTCAGGGGCCTGGTGCTGCAGGACGTGGGCGAGTGGGGAGCTCTGGCTCTGGCCCCGCTGGGGCAGGGGCTTGGCCTCGGCCTGGGGGGTCCCTTGCAGTCAGTGCTGATCCCAATGCCCTAGGATGGCGCTAGGGGGCGCTGTGCTACCCCCAGGAGGGAAAACTGAGGCCCACAGAAGATCCCATTCAATCCGCACCGGAGTCGACACCAAACCCCCCTTTACGCAGCTTCCTGCTGCCTTCCCTAGAATCCACTCTGCCGTCAGCCCGACGGCCTCGTCTTTACCTCCTGGCCTGGACGACCCCGCAGGACGAGACCCGCGTGCTCCTCTCTCCCCCTCCTCCCGGGCCAACGCCCCCTTGCTCCAGGTCAGACGTTCCCTGTGCTCTACCCGGGCTAGCTTTAAAAGGCTCAGGCCACGGCCCTGTCCCGCCCCTCCCCAGGGGCAGGGCACGACCCAGGCCAATGCATTACATCACCCTTCTACAAGAGCCATTGTGGACCTGCCCTGCCCCACCCCAGAGGTGGCCGCATTTCAGTCCAGAGTGAACCAGACCCTTGTGTGGCGTTGCTGTGCACTGTTAAATAGCTGCTGCGCTCCACCCCAGAGGTGGCTGCTGCAAACCCTGCTTGGGGGTCTTTCCACAGTCCTATGCAAAAAACACGCTCGCTGGTCAGCAAAGACCTGCTGAGAATCATTCCCGAGCAGGGACTGTCCCAGCTGCTGGGGGGGGGGCACACAGCACTGGGCTATTCCCTGCTCCCTGCGGGTCGGTGGGAAGCAGAACTCAAGTGAGCGCAGCCCCCAGGCTGCTCCAAGAGACACAAGGGGACCAGGACATGGGGAGCATAAAGACACCCCCCCTCAATCTTAAGAAATATTTGTCTCACACATCTTCACCTGCTGACGTTACAGGGGAAAGGACCCAACACAGAGTGCGAACAGCTTGGCGAGTTTAATTTAGTAACGATCATTCAGCTAACGACTCTACACCAGGAGGGGGGCGCGTCCTTGTGACCCAAAGGTACCAAAATAATCGGACCCTGCCAGACACACCCCAGCTCGGACCAACACATCTCGCCAGCTGCTGGTGGGGCAGCAGAGGGGGATGCCCAGTGTGGGGTATGGGGTTGGTTTCCTCTTGCACCCGTTTTGCCAGGGGGGGGGGGGGGGTAATCTCAGCATGGGGCCCTGCCGCCCCCAGCCCTCTGCTTCGAGGGGTTGGTGTCTCCCAGCTTCTTCCCTCCTGGCTGGAACGATCCCCAGCCGCCTCTGTCGGTTCCCATCCGAGCCCAGAGGGCTCTCAGGGCTCAGCCGAGGAAGAGGAGGAAGGCGGGGAAGGCTCTTTCTGGACCAGCTCCGGCTCGTCCTCCCCGTCATGAGGGGGGTGGACCAGCACCTTGTCCAGGATCCCGAACTCCTGGGCTTCCATGGGGCTCATGTAGCGATCTCTCTCCATGGCGGACTCTGCAGGATAAGAGCACGGGGAAGGTGAGGGGTGCCCTGGGCGGGGGGGGAGCCTCTAGACCCTGGCCCAGGGCACATCACCCTCTAGTGACTGACCCAAAGAGAGAGGGGGGATAAAAGCCTTAACACTGCAGCAGCCCCTGGAGATCCCCCTGGAGTTCCCACATCTGGAGCTGAAGAGCAGAGGGGTCTAGCCCCGCTGGTGCCTCTGGGGCTCTGGAGTTAACAAACCCCTGCACTGCTTGAGATAGTTCACCCCATCAGTCTGGCCTACAGCATCCATTCCTTCCTGACCCCTGCAGTAGCAAGCAGCTGATGCCCTGAAGCATGAGAGCTGATCGCCCTGCCTTCAGGATCTGAACTTTGACCTCTCCACATGGGGGGAAGGGGGTCTGGATCCAGGCCCATTGGTGACAGGGGCCCCACTCCCTCCCATTTCACCCACAGAACGGAGACGTTTTGGGAAGCCCAGTACCGCTGTCCCCGCCTTCCCCTCCCCCATCAGCCTCTCTCCACCGGAGACCCCAGAGGACGGCTGGGAGATTTCGGGGGCACTCACCGATCACCTCCAGGGGCTGCTTGGTGTGCTTGGCGTACAGCCCGTTGATCTGCTTCTTCAGCGTCAGGATCTCCTCGGCTTGGATGGCGATGTCCGTGGCTTGCCCCTGCGGGGAGGCACCGTGAGGTGCAGCCTGGCTTCACGGAGCCCCCACCCCGACGAGTCCAACTGCAGCAGGCGCAGAGCAGAGCTGCGCCAAACTCGTCCCAGGCATCGCCCGGGAATGATCGGGGGCCTCTATCCACTCGGGGACGGCGACCTTAGGTCAAAGGTTCCCCCTAGCCCAGAGGGACCCCGAAGACCAGCAGCCAGAGGGGAACCCGCCCCCGTGGTCCAATCATTCCTCATCAGTGCCTGCTGGGGTGGCCCCCGCACGTCCCCCGCCGCAGGGCTCCCACTCCCGCCAGGGGGCAGACCGGTGCCCGGACTCACCCGCGCCCCTCCCGAAGGCTGGTGGATCATGATGCGGGAGTTGGGCAGGGAGTGCCTCATGCCCTGGGAGCCGGCAGCCAGGAGCAGCGACCCCATGCTGGCCGCCTGCCCCACGCACCAGGTGCAGATGGGGTTCAGGATGTACTGCATGGTGTCGTAGATGGCCAGCCCCGAGGTCACGGCACCACCTGGAGGGAGAACCGGAGAATGACGGCGAGGACCCAGCAGCGGGGGGGTGGCTGGAAGGAGCAAGGCCCCAGCACTGGCTGTGGAGCTCCTGGCTGCTCCAGTCCCAGCCTCTGCCAGCAGGGGGCACTTCGGGGCACGGCCGGCTGTTCTCACGGTGGCGCTCGCAGTCTGGGCTCCCACTCACCGGGGCTGTTGATGTACATGTGGATCGGCTTCTTGTTGCTCTCTGACTGCAGGAACAGCAGCTGGGCAATGACCAGACTGGCCACCCCATCGTCGATCTGCAGAGGGTGGAGAGAGAGGTGGCAGCGACCTGGGGAACTCCCAGCTGCAGGGGCTTGGAGAAGCAAATGCAGCGGCTGGGGCGGTTTGAGGCTTTTCCCCCCAAGGCCGAATCATTTCACGACCATTAACTCTCGTGGCTCAGAGAGGAAAGATCAGGTGAGGCAGCCTCCTGCTTCAGGGCGCATGGCTGTCAGGGGTCAGGAAGGAATTCTGCTAGCTCAAACCACTCCTCACCACCATGTGGGGTGGAACGCCTCCTCTGATGCCCATTGGTCTGGTCCAGTCCATTATTTGGGGTGGTGAATACAGGGATAGAAGGGCCCATTGGTCTGACAGCACAGCAAGAGGGTTTGCTGGCCCCCTGGTCCAGTGTATGTGTGGGGCTCTGGCCCAGAAGGACACTAGAGTGGCTGACCCCGTGCTCCCGTTAGAGACAGGGGGACCCCCCCCTTTTTCTCCTGTTGGGTGGGGGCTGCGCAAGCCCAGGGTGGCTGGGCCAGGAGCTGCCACGGACACTCACCGGCCCCATGACGCACACGATCCTCTCCCGCAGCAGCCGGGAGTAAATGTCGTAGGCTCTCTCGCCGCGGCCCTGCAACACACACCCGGAGCTCAGCCCACGGTCAGCACCCCTCCAGGGGCAGGGAGGGAATGCGGGGGGCACAGGGGAGCCTGGGAGGGGAGCAGGATTCATGATCGCGTGTGGGAGCCCTGGTTTCGCAGCTCACAAGTGAAATGAGTTTGGTGGGGCTCA